ACTACCTGGAGGCGATGCTGTCACTAGAGAAGGAACCTCCTTGTGAATACAATCAAATGGCTGAGCCTGCTCCCCTTTGAGGGCATGAGAGAATCATGGAATCCCAGAAAATACACTTCCAAAAATCAAGACGTTCTGGGTTTGGTCCTGGGTTTCATGCTTTTAGGACAGGATCAATGGAAGGAGAATTTCCATGGCTGAAGAAGCTAGGAAACTCTGCCCCCGGTTTCCTTTCCCTTTAGGGGCTCCATTGCCTTGATTCTTGCTGTCACTTGCCAACCTTTCTCCTGGGATACAGTCCTCAACTTTTAAAACCCAGGACCACCTTGGAATAGCTGAGACAAACTGGCCTTTTCCCAAAAGAATTTTACTAACAACATAAGTTAAAGAAAGGTGGGGGGTGGGGGGGGAGAGAAAAACAAATCAAAGAAAACACAAAGGACAAGATACAGTAATTTATCCAAAGACTGATGTCTGGTTTCAGATTAATTACATTTTAGACCCCCAGGCTTCTTTCTTGAGCTCAATATCGCAAAGCTCCCAGACTCTGGCCAGTTGTATCTTATTTTTCTGCATGTATAAAAACTCCATCCTGATGTTGAGACAAAAACCAACTCTGTCTTATCTATAGCTTTCTTGCAACATCCACTTTTTTTTTTTCAGCTGAACTGTGGGATGCTGGGGACTGCACAGGGAACATTCTGGACCTTTTGGCAATCCTTTATCATGGTTCTTTAATCATAGCAGCTATGTCAGGAAATTTGACCCATGGGAAGGTGGGATTTGCCCTTGGGATTTCTGGCATGATCTGAGAGACACCTCTTTCTTAATAATGAGGATGGCCAGAATAGAGAGAAGGGACCTAATAAGTATGAAGCTTAACATGTGCCCAACACTTTTGTATATTTCAGTTTTTAGCATAAGCCTTTGCCATTGGAATCAATCACTAGTTATAATTTACAGAATTTGAAGATCAGAGGGGTTAAGCAACTTGCTCAAGGTCTTAAAGCTGAACAACCAAACTAGGAGAGCAGTTTGGTTTGGTTGATGATGTTTGTGATCTGAACCATGCAGCCTGAGGAGGTAGAGTGCCTTTGCTTTCTTTGAAGGTACAGACCTTCCCATCCTTCTTTGTTTACTTGTTGTTGTTTTCTTTCAATGTACAAACATTTGCTGAACTCCTTTATGTGCAGCACACCTCTTTAATATTAGGAGGTGAAAAGTTTTATAGATGAAGTCCCTGCATTCAGCTCTGCACCTGGTTCTCTATGTTGAATCCATCATTCACGGGGCACTTATTCTTTCAGATATTGAGCACCTATTAAGTAGAAGACATTGGCCCAGGAGCTGGAGATAAAAAAGTTTAAATACATGGAATCTAGAGGAAGGAAAGAACATAGGTTCCTCATTACCTTCTGCTACTCACTCCCCACACCCCTCACCCAGATCTCTGAGGCCTTTCATGAGGGGGGTGTGGGGGGGGCTTCTGGATAAGGCTGTTCCTAAGGGGAGGAGGTAGGTATGAATGGAGGGAGTTTTCTTGGCACTGTTTGCCCATTTATTGTGGTTAGTACCAGGTAAGGTGCACAAAACTGGGGAAATGAGTCAGACAAGGAACTAATGGAAATATGGAAATATTTTTGAAAGGTAGAAATTACTCATTTATTTAAAAATAATGGGGAAACCCCTTAATAGAGCTTGTGATTATCATTCCTTTGCAGTTTATGGTTTCCAGGTGTCCTTTTCATTTGGAGAAAGGCTTCCTGGTTTAGAGAATTCTAGGTCATAGGAAAGGGCTGAATTATCCGAATACTGCTGCCAGTTTATGGTTTGACTTCAGTTAAATTATTCAACCTATTTATGTGTCAGCTCAGAAACCGAGAGAGTCATGTCAGATACATCACACAATACATTTTCTGTGGGATCTCCAGTAGAAGGATTATGATAAGTAACAGCTATGTAGTGTGCATAACAGAACACTTTTGCTTTTTGTCTCTAGGTCAAAAGAACTGATGCAGGATCACAATTCGACTTATGGCATAAAAACCTTTGGGAATCTGAAACTTCCTGGAGTTAAAACAAAAAAAACAACAAGCACCTGTTATTTGCATAGTGCTCTATTCTGAATGATTTACAAAGCATTTTAAGATATCACAACTGATCCTTACCCCACCTGTGAAGTGGAATTAGTGTCCCCATTTTATACTTGAAGAAACTTAGGCAACACAGTCAATCAAGGTAATTCAGGCAAAGGTGATTTATTTTTTATTTTATTTTTTACTTTCCCTCAGCTATCTAGAATAATTTTTTTTTTCACCTCAATAATTTGTGGTAATGAACCATCACAAATGCTATCACCAGACAAACAAAACACAGTCTTCTTTTCCGGGGATACACCCCATCCCTGCACAGACCTCAAAACCAGAGTTAACAATGCACATCTGTAAATCACCAGAACTCCAAACAACCCACAACAGTTAGGGATCATCTTCATGTTTATTATACAACATTGTCTGGGAGTAGTTTGGAATGGATTGGCTTCTCTAAAGAAATTTGTTTGTGTTCATTTGGGGAAGAGCCAGCTCAGATCCAAGTCTATTTGGTTCTTTGTTTGTGTTAGGGTATGGACGCTGAGAAAACAGGGGTTGTCCAGAGAATTCGCACGGGAAAATAACTTTAATAGCTTTAGGCACATAACCAGTTAACAGTCCATCAATAGAAAGCTGATTGGCATTCTCTCTTCCTTTGGGGGGTTGTGGTGATGCTAAACTGTCTGGCCCGGTTCCTCTTCAAGCAAAGGAAGACCCCCCCCTCCTCTAATGGTCTCTTCTCCCAACTAGGCAGCACTGCCTATAGGGCCTGTCTAGAGGCAGGCCCTCTAGGTGTGGGGGAATGGGGTTCTGTTCAGCCTAGTTTTGGGGTAATCGCGGATGGATCTGCCAATGCAGTTACTGCAGACTTAGATGGGGGCCCGTTTTTACCGGCCTGGTCCACAGCTAGGTTTCTGCCTGGGGAAGCTGAGAGCACCTGGGGTCGTCCTGGTCCTTCGGCCTGCGGGCTCCAGGCCTGCAGTATTAACATCACCACGAGAAAAGCGCCGTGCTGCGAGCACTTATTTGCATCCAAGTGTTTGCACTGAGACAGGGGCTCACGTGTTCGACGTCACACAGACTGGGGCTCTCCAGGGACAGAAGCTGGGAGGAAGCCCTGTCTCGGGGTGGGCAGGTGCCAGGGTACGCAGGCTGGGGCGGTAGGGGTTCCGGAGAGGCTGAGCCCTTGCCGCCACCCTGATTCTCTTATAGCCCCTGGTCCGTATTTGCGGGTGCAGGCCTCAGTTTGGGCCAGGACCCCTGCCCAAGACCCTCCACTTCCAGCAATTTCCCCCGAACCGTCCCCCTCCCCAATTCCCTGGCTGGCCCCATAGCGTTCCAGCCTCCCCGGGCCCAGCCACTCAAGCCTCGCTAGCCCAGCGCTGGG